CCTCTGGATGATTTCAAGCTGCCAGCCATTCTGCCAGGACTTGCGCATCGAACTGTTTGCAACACCTAGGGATTAAGTCCCCTTATCCTAACCCATTGCCGTCAAGTCGATTCTGACTCAGTGACTTTAAAGGATCAGGTAGAGTTGCCCTTTTTGATTTCCCAGGCTGTGAATCTTCGTGGGAGCAGCTAGCCTCGTCCTCCTCCTGAGGAGTTCCTGGTGGATTGAACCTGTTGACTTTGCGGTTAGCAGCCCACTGAGTCACCCCAGACTCCACTAGGGCTTCCTTAAATCCCATTAATTACATTAATGACAGTCCATTCCTAATATGTTATGCTAGTTAACAATTCACTAAGTTTTCCAGTGAAAATTACAGTCTTAACAGTCGCTATGAGAGTGATCGAGGCCTGTGGCGTTTTTCAAGGATAAAGGGACCGGAAGCCTCTGGAGAATGCCGTTGCTGAGTAGCGGGCACACAGACAACCCCTGCGGTGTGAACCGTGCTCGGAGACAACTGCTGATTCCTGGTGTGTAACTTGAACTGCTTGGGCTGAAATATGTTAAAGCCAATTATAGACATCCTCATCATTAACATACTAATTATCAGCCTCTGAACCAAGAGCACAATGTGCTCAGGCTTTGGAAATATTATTCAGTGTGAGCAAGGATTGGGTTGTAATCTTAACACTGAAAGGGAGTGAAGTTTGAGAGAAAGACTTCCTGCTCCAGGATCTGGTCTTCTGGCTTCACTCCTCAGACTCCCCTTTTTCTCTTCTCTCCAATGGGGTGATGCATTCCTTTCATCTCCAGTGCTTCTTTTTATTTATGCCAGCAGGCTCATTCTCTCTCTTGGGCTTGATCTCTCAGCCACAGGGCCCCTTGACTTATGCCCACCTTGGGCGAGTGTTACAATTCCCTTTGTCAGTGCCAATGTCTGAAGTCACTCAGCTTTACTCTCTTCGTGGGACAGGGAGCCCTGCTCCTCTGCTCTATGCCACTGTCTCAGGGCTACTCTTCTGCTCGGCCTCTCCGTGTGAGGACCTCTGTCTTTTTTCTCTCCTGGTTCTTCCTTCTTGGGGATCTTGGGATTTTCTCTCCTCCTGCTTCTGATGGCTCAGTTTATACCCAGAGGACTGGGAAAATTGACCAGTCCCCTCCTTAGAGTCCTTTACCCCTTATTTGCATGTTTTCACCCACTAATTGGTGGAAGTGACAAACACTATGGATAGAAGAGCTCTCTACCGACTCATTTCGCTTCATCACAAACACCGACGAGATGAAATGCTGAGTGTATATTGAAGACTTGCATTTTCAACGTGTTATTTCTAAGAATTCTCTCAAGATTCTTTACATCATTGAACCATTTAAAAGCAGTGATGAGATATGTTATTTTCCTCCAGTTCTAGATGGTTTATTTCCCAGCTTTAAACTTATCTCTGTTCATAGATAATATGCGTTAAGGCTACTCTCTACTCATGAATGCTTAAATAGATTGATGGATTTGATATTTATTCCTTAGCTGTTGAGAATACTAACAAGAATTCTGATCTTCTTTCTTGATCAGGTAAATAACAGTAAACACAGTGAGTCCAGATCAACTCCATCTCAGTGAGTTTTTGGTTTACTGTCTGCTATATCATCCCTCCCTCACCATTAGCCCTGCTCATCCTTATATTATCCCTAGAGTTTAGTCGCATGAAATTTAGCCTTTGCAGTGAAAACATCTTGACAAAAATGAGTATTCTGCAGGCGATATCCTTTTTTGTTCCTTTCATTGAGTTTAAATCAGTGTCTTTACCTTGACAGTTAGACTTCGGAATCCCAAATCCCTCGATGGCTCATTTGAATTCATCCCTGCTGTAATAGACTTTGCTCAGTAGTAAAGCTTTTGGGAATCCCTTAAATCAGACAGCTGAAATTCTGGTATGCTACCTTCTATGAAAGTAGACGAAACCTGGGAAGTTAAGCTCTTACTTGAAATGACAGAAAGTGGTTTCCTGAGCTCCAGAGGCATTGATGGGATTATTTGTGCGGCATCAGAATGCCTATCTCCACATAGTGCAGTAAGGAGTGCGCTGGGTCAAGGGGCTCTGGTACTGTCTTGACTCAATGTTTTTTTATCCCCTTCTTTTGTCTAGTGTCTAAATATCAAGACATTTATAGTTGTCTGACAAATAAATATTCCATAATTTTGCATAGAAGTTCAGGAGTTTAAACTAAAGATGAATTCAAGAGCATGGAGACCACCGATTTAGTGAGTAGGTGGTCAAGTGTTGGAGAAACACTTATAATGAAATATATACAAATATTTAATGAAATATATACAGATCTTTGTAAAACACTGACTAGCTTGTGGGGGGTGGTAAACATGTTCATGGTTGTTACAGTTCCATCTTAGCTTCACTTGAATTAAGCTTCATATTATAAAGCCTTGTAGGTCTTGGCTACACTGGTGTCCAGTAATAGTAATGGAAGACCAAAGAAGCGTTCATGCCGATTAATTATGATGCTAGTGAAGACAATTGACTCTATTACGGGCTGCCAGAGAACAAGCAAATCTATCTTGGATCCTTAGACGTAAGGATGCCAAGACTTTGTCTTACATAATTTGGACCCAGTATTTGGAGGATCCAGTTCACCCTGGTGGGGTAAAACAGAGGGTCAGCTGAGAGGGTGGGGCACTCAACAGGATGAATTGCCACAGTGGCGGCAGCAGTGGGCCCGACTGTAACAGTTGTGAAGCTGAGGCAGGCCTGGACAGTGTTTCCTTTGTACAGAAAGTCGCTGTGAATTGGTACTGACAGGATGGCACCTAACTACAAGAATAGCTCTGTTGGCCTGTTTTAAACATTTTTCATGAGCAGTTTTATTGGCATATACTTCACAGATCATAACATTTTAATTGTTCAGTCATATTAAGAAGATTTGTGCAATTGTGACCACAATCAATTTCTGAACATTTTCTTCTTTTACCCATTGCTGTCAGCTCCCTATTTCCACCCATCTCCCCGTACCATGAGGCTAGACAATTGTGAATCCAGTTACTGTCTCTGTAGATCGACCTATCCTGGATTTAATACACAGAAAATCATACAAAACCAAACAGGAAGCCAACAAACAAACAGCAACAACAAAACCCGCCAACAGCAATGACTAATTCAAGCACAGAAAAACCTCAACCAAGAATAAAGCAGAAAATATTAAAATGCAAACAATTTTAAAATGGGTCAAAAGGGAGATCAAATGATAAGACATTACTCTTGATCTAACTAGGTTCTGTCATAATAGACTTTACAAAGCTCTCTGTCTGATAGCAGGGCTAGTCCCATCCCTCAACTATGATCACAGGGGATTCACCAGTGGTTTAATCTATAGACACTGCAATTGGATTTTGGGTGTCCACTGTCATACATACCCTTCTGTAAACCAGGTGTTCACAATTTAAGCTCTGATACCATTTCCTCCTTTAGATTTGGATTATTTACAATTCTTGACTCACATAGGCTGGTGTGCTTCTTCCATGTGGACTTAGTTGATGCCTCACTTAAATGGCTGCTTGTTTGAAGACAAGTTTTTAAGAGCCAGAGGCTAGTCTTTCTGATAGTTGGACACCATCTGTGTTTTTCGCCACACTTTGCTATAGCACCCATATTTTCAGTGGTCTCTTCATTAGAGTGAGCATCGAATAGATGTTGGCTTATTTTTCAATCCATGTCTTCTGTAAACATTGACTGTTTTAGAAATTGTAGGTGAAACAAGATAGAATGAAAATAGCTGTAATCCAGTGAGTGTGCACTAGAAGCCAAGACCTACGCTCTTGTGAACATTTATCATTGCCATCAGGTTGATGCTAACTCACAGTGACCCCTTGTGGGTTTCTGAGACTCTCAGTGTTTACAGGTGTAGAAAACCTGGCCTTTCTCCCTTGGACCTGCTGGTGGTTTCTATCTGCCCACATGCAAACGAATCACAGCCCAACGCATAACCAATGTGCCACCAGAGCTCCTCCTAGTAACCTTCTGAAGTAGACACAGTTATTCTTACTTGTCCATTTTAAAGATGAGGAAACAGAGGCACACAGTGGTTAATTACTTGCACAAGGCCATCAGCTATAAATAGCAGTCTTGAAATTTGAATCCACATCATTTGACTGCAGAGCCCACCCACTTCACCGTCCTATGTTTTAACTCTGTGGACGGAATAGAAGAAGGAATCCTTTCCCCCAAGAAGGCCCGGGCGAGGATGGACAAAAGCCTTTCCATCAGTATCGCTGTATGTAATAGGAGCTGAAGTCAACACTCACTAAATATAGCAAAGATGTCCTTGTCGTCATAGCGCAAACTTGCTTTTCTGCAGCCCTTCTTCCATCTCCAAACAGGAAAAAGGCATTCTCCCAGATATTCTGGATAACATTTCCTCCCAAAACATTAGTTTTCTGAGTCTGTTCTCTCACTCTGTTTTGCTCAATTCAACGTAAAAGACAATGAGGAAACAGGAATTTGTGGCCACCACAAATCTGTGTACACCTTTTAAAATAGCCACAGACTAGAAAGCTGAACCTGCTTTGTGTTCAGATGGCAGGGGAATGGCAGAAAAATAGAGGCTGCCCCTGCAGTTTGTATGCACTGAGTGAATCTGAGGTGCAAATATATTGTAGGTCACAGGTATCAGTCCTGGTTGGATTGTGCTAGGAATTCAGGTAGGCTTTTTGTGCTGAGTTAAGGTCCTTAGTTTGACTAGCAAGCCCAGGAAACTGTCATTCAGGAATCTCAGATCAAGGGTCAAGACAGAATGCAGGGCAAAGTAACTTGAATTGCGAATGTAATTTCATTTCTTAAAGGTGCAGTCAATAATTAAGCTCCATTTGTGTGCATAAACCCTGAACCATGCTAATGACCTGCTTCTTGACCCTTGGGAGCTGTCCAGTGTTTCCCTTGATCGTTCTTCCTCCCTCTGCTATGGTGATTTCTTACTTTGACCCCTCCCTCTATTTTATTCAGGATTCTCTGGTGGAATCTTATCTCCTGCTGGAGGACCTTGGTGATTGTGTCCACCGTTTCCAGGGCTTTAGGCAGCAGGCAGAGCCCCGGGAGGTGAGGAGCAGGAGGCTGGGGGTACCTGCCTGTTGTTAGGGAAAGAAGGAAGGGTCATTTCCAGCGAACCCAGGTTTGTTGAATTGATTTTTTTTGTTGTTGTCCGTATTAGTTCCTCAGAATACTGTTTGCTTCCTGGTCAGCCATTTTTTATGATTCTAGATAAAGTGTTTTGCTATTTTTCTCTTATCTCCTTAGTGAAGGAACATGGAGGCTTTTAGAGCATTCATTCACTCCTGTCATATTGATACCTAGTTTCAGAAGAATTTAAAAGCTATAAATAAACTTTTTCTACATCCATCCCTTTTGCTGGGGATGCAGACTTAAAAGACATTAACACTTGCTAAAGTCCACTGCTTATTGTTATTACTGCTTTGCTTCTTGATATGTTAAACATATGGGGAAAAGTATTGCACCACTCCCAGAAGACTTTTTTGCACTTAAGAACTTGATGGAATGGGATAGGGGCTACCTCTGACCTCCTCCAGCTACACAAATGAAAAGAGTATTGAGCTCCATTAGCTGCCCAAGGATGAGAACTACAAGGTCAGACATGCCTCCATCCTCCCACTGTCTTTACCATATTCTGTCACCAGCCGCACCTCCCTTCTCCGCACTCTACTTCTCTGCTTGTCTACTTCTCGGGTTCCATAATCCATTGCAATTTCCACACAGAACTCTTAGCCAAGACTCATGACTATGGGGCTTATTAGAGAAGTTAACAGGTCCTTAGGATGTTAAGGATACTGTTAAGGATACAGTTCTTTGGTCTACAGTTTAGAGAGCCTCCTTTCAGCCATGCTGCAAGGCATGCCTCTCTGGCCCTGGACCTCTCAGCTGCTTGGCGCTTTAGCCTCTGCCTTGCCCCTGTAGCTCGGATAAATGCCCAAAGGGTACCTCACTCTGCAAGCTAGCCAGCTTCCTGACTAAAGGCACTCGGCTTTATTCATTCTGTGGGCTGGGATGCCTACTGTTCTGCCATATGGTCTAAGAACTGTTCCTCTGTTCCCTGTCATGGTCTGTGTTCCTCTTCTGCCACCTCTCCATGAGCAGATGTTAAGCACATTTCACTCCTGGCTGGTGATGGGAGCCTCTGTTTTTGCATCCGAGCCAGCTCACTATATTCCCAGCAGTATGGGAAAACTGATGAATCCTCGAGTTAGAGTTCAGTACACCTTATTTATATGTACCAACCCAGTTGTTTACACCCTGGTGGTGTAGTTGGGTGCTAAACGCATGGTCAGCAGTTAGAAACCACCAGCTGTTCTGTGGGAGAGAGAGGAGCCTTTCTACTCCCATAAAGAGTTCCAGTCTCAGAAGCCCACAGGGGCAGTTCCCTCGGCCCTATGGGGTCACGACACATTGGAATCAACTCACTAGCACGGGAGTTGTATTTCTGACTCAGACATTTGGCGGGGGCCACAAACACTGTGGATAGAAGCGCGATACCAATTTCACCGCATCGCAGTGTTTTGAATCATATTTTCTATCGGAGCCATCTTGGTTCTTTTGTCTTAACTCCCTTTAAGTTTAGCAAAATTCCCTGCCACTGACCAGAGGTGTGAGCTGGGGTGAGCACCATCATTTTCTGAGTCTAAATGTCCTCATCTGTAAAGTGAGGAGACGATTGGAATCTAGTTTATAGAGTTCTTGTGAAGAGTAGATGAGCTAATACATGTAAAACAGAGGACAGGGCTTGACACACAGTAGGTGAGCAGTTTTTATTGTAATCCTTTAAAAAGAAAAAAGAATGCAAGAAGCCTCTAAGTACAGGCTTATTTTGACATTACCGAGAGATGTTTAGTGGTGATGGTGAGCTGTTTACCGGGTTTAGGTCCAAGCACCCTCCCTCATAGGCTGTGCACTAACCTGACCTCTCTGGGTTAAATGTGAAGAGTAGCACTTATGTTATGAGTATAGGAATTAAAAGAGATATTGTAAAAAAATATGGAATACAATGAATACTTTATAAATGTTTTTATCTAATACAACCATAATGACCAAATTGGAGTCATTTTTATCGCAGCTTTTAAGCAGTCATAATTACCATGCAAGTATAATTTTGTCTTGCTTTTTCCAAGCAATATTTCATCCTCAATACTTTCCATGATAGCTGCATAAGCTTCAATGCCACTATTTTAATGATTGCAAAATATTTCTTCTAGTAATTATACAATACTTCATTTCACTGTTGCGTTAGTATTGAGCTCTGAGGTAATTTCCAAGTTTTCAACATATAAGTGAGATCATGTGAAATAACTTTATATGTAGAATCTGCCATATTTTGCATCATGACCTTAGGAAAGGTTCTCAGAATAACTGCTTGTGACTATTTTTACAATTTTTTTGGGTCTCCCTCACTAAGTAGCAGGCTTCTGTGTGCGGCTCTCCACTTTGTCCTCACAATCCAGGACATGGTACTTAATGAATATTTCTTGAGTTCATGAACACATGAACAAATTACATTATATCTGCAACAGTGTTAAGGCTTCTTCATGTCTTAACCTTTTGCCTTTTAAAAGTAGTCTTAAAATCCAAGGGATTTCTTAACGGCATGTCAGCGTCTTGGCAAAGAGGACGAGAGTGCTTTTCTGTGTAACAGGGATCAGGTTGGGTTCAATTCGTGGCCAGAGCACCTTGTTCACCTCATGGCAAGCCGCGACCTGTCAGTGGAGCGTGGAGGCTTGGATACTGTTATGGTGCCGAACGGATTTCAGTGAAGCTTCCAGATGGGCAGATGAGGGAAAAAGACCCAGGAATTTACTTCTAAACACCAGCCAGTGAAAATCCCGTGGCTCACGTTATCCTGATCTCTGATGATTCACGGGGGGGTGGTGCTGGACCCACCAATATTAATTGCAAGCAGTATTCTGCATGGTGCTGCCGGGGGTACAAGGGCTCATGCGATGGTAGCTCATCAGAACAACCAGCCTCCGGAGACCCACAGAGCGCCCTTTGAGAGAGGCAGGAGAGAAGAGTGAAGGAGAATGAGAAACCCAGGGAGGAGGTGGGAGAATGCTGTTACGTCCAGGGGCTGCCACTCACATCATGAAGTGGACTGTGTGTAAAAGAATGCATAAACTCTCCCCCAAACCCCAATGAAGAAAGAAGAGAAAGGACCAGTTGCGGGAAGTGTCTTGCATTGGTGTGTCAGGTTGACCTTCATCTGAAAATCACTTTCTATGGAGGGCCAAGTCAGGCAAAATAAAATTATATACAGGTCATATGTTTTAGTTCAAAATGAAAATAGACTAAGCCATGTTGGGGGTGGGGAAATAACTTCCTCAAAGAGAAAAATGCTAATGTCCAGATTGTCACTCCTCTAGCTGCTGATCCGTGTATGACAGGTCAGGATCGGTTTGAAGATTGACAATATGGAAATGGCTCAGTCACCTTTCTTTCTGATATCCAGTCATAGGAATCGGTCTAAAGCAGGCAGGTCACTTTCAGCTCTTTGCCGGGGCTTGCCTGTCTGGGATAAATAAAGCTAGGTCCTTTCCAAGGTGTTTTGGACCCTGGTGGCTTAGTGAGTTACGTGTTAGGCTGCTCACCACTGGTCAACGGTCTGAACAACCCCCCACCCCCCCCTGCTGCTCTACTCTGCACCAGCAGTTCCACTCTGCCCTACAGGCTCGCCATGGGTCAGAATCGACCTCCGGGCCAGTGAGTGAGTGCCAGTATCTTGCCTTTACTATTTGGGGCTGTATTCCTTTTCTCTATAAACTGTGAGGATTAACTGTTCTTCTTAAGGAGAGAGAAAGCTTTATAACTCGAAGCAAAGACGGCTGAGTTATTATATCAGCTTAATGTTCTGCAGTTACACCTAAAGCTTTTTGAGTTACTTATCAAAATAACAATGAATCTTACTCAAGAGTTCATTAGCTGCTATGGGAAAATTATATTGAAGTCATACATTCTATCAGTATATTTCTACATGAAAAACAAGGTATTTGAATAATTTGTGGATGTGATTAAATATTGATTCATATGCTAGGAATCATTCCCTTTTGTTTAGTAACACAACTAAAATAATAGGGCTTATTTATCAAGCGTTTTGAACGTCAGCAGTGGGGGTGGGAAGGAAAGCACCTTTTCTGTAGCCAGTGCTGCATGTAACAGAGGCTTTTCCCGGCGGCTGCCGCCCGCCCTCTCCTCCTGGTGGAAGGTCCTGGCCCATGAGGCCTGATTGCTCAGGCCAAATTGTACCTCTGCTTTGCAGTTACTGAGTGATTTTAGAAAGGCTGCTTAACTTCTCTGAGTTTCTGGCATATTCCAGATAAAGAGGACAAGAATCCTGCAAGACAGACGAGAGAGTAATAGAAAAGCGTAATATAAGGCAGTCAGCTCAGTGCCTGGCCAGCAGTATATTCCCAATACCCCTCACTAATCTGAAAGAGTTTGTTAGCTTTAGTTTAAAAATATTTTGTTGTGGGGAAAGATAGTTTTCTGGAGGACCTCTGAGCACTGTTTCTCTTACTTTTTTTTTTTACAACAAAACTCGATGTAGATTCATTCATTCATTTATTCACTGATGAAATCCACTGTGTGCTGGGTTCTAATATAATTCCTGGGCACTCAACAGTGAACACTGGTCACATCTTTCTGATCTTGTGAAGCTTATATTCTAGCAGGAAGATGGGGGATGGGGGTGGGATTGTGACAGATGATACAACATACAAACCTACATCCTCATTTCCTGTAGTGATGAGTGATGTAAGGGCAGATGGGCAGGTGATGGATCAAGACTGGGTGGGGGGGGGGCTGTTGTTGCTTGTATATTCAGGAGAGTCTCTGAGAAAGTGCCCAAGAGACTAGGCTGCCTTGTGAAGGCCTGAGAGCTGTTCCTACAATGGGAACAGTGTATGATGGAGAAGGAACGGAGCGTCTGCCAGGAGTAGAAAACAGACCTGTGTAGCTGGAGGTGGGGGGATGAGAGGAGAATAGAGAGAGCTGGGCTGGGAGAAAAGGAGCCCTGATGGTGTAGTGGTTCCACATTGGGC